CCATTTCTACCTTCTAATTGTGTGTATTGATTTTCTTCGTTAATTATTAACCCATTGACATTTTGACACTGTTTAATTATTGTTAACAAACTTATCGCCACTTGATTGGCAAATTGTTGTATTGTAATAAAAATGCTATGTATATTAGAGTAGAGCCAGAGATGAGGATCTAATTGAAAAGTAAATATTTCTTCGCTCAAGTTTTCTGTTTTCTAAGTGTCTAAATGGGAATGTTTTCTTTATTTCAATATTGTCGAAATCAATTTTGTGGCCTGATTCTATAGCATGTAGACCTATGGCTGATGATTTTTCAAGTTTTTCTAGTTCAATTAGATTTCTTGGTGGTCGAAGAAATGCTCTACGGTGTTCATTTCTTCTGATTTTGATCTCTCGCTAGTGATGTTTGTCCGATGTAGATCGCATCACATTCCAAGCATCTTATTTTATAGACACAATTAGATAAAGAATCCCGAAAGATTCTACACTTAATTTTGTTATCTTTACCAATTCACCAACTTGACAACTAAAAATAACCCAAGACTAACGAACGATGATCAAGTTAGGAAACTTTGTTTTGATATCATAACAGATATACTTTTACCTTTGATATTTGGTTTAGTGATATTCATTGTTATTTTGACTTTCAATACGTCCTGTTAAAATGACCTAAGTGGTCTATTTTCTCACCCCTTAACTCTTTGTTATATATAAGCTGAGTGGATTTTGTAAATTCCGGTTTAATAATACTTCGATAAAGCTATTAGTATTAAATAGCGAAACGTCAGTAAAAACGACAAGAATATCGTTTTGTGTTTCATTCATTCATTGGGAAATACAAAAACCTTTATTATAACGGACTACTCACACAACTTTCTTGCTTCATTTATATACATGAGTAAAAATTGATGATTCTATATTTGATTGAATAAAATCAATCAATATAAGATAAAGTACATTGAGAAATAATAATATCAGTATTATCAACAAAATACAACAAGATGCGAAATAAGACGAGTGTTTTTATAGTCATAATAAGTAACTTGTTAGAATATTATGATGTATGTGAATTGAAATGGAATTTTAAGATTATCCTCCTCTGATTTGACTGACTGGTGGTAAAAATATCTCCCATACATATCTCTGGTATTTGCGTTGAGTCATTTCTACTGTACTGTGTGTTGGGTGTAGGTAGATTCGATGAACGGGGATTCAGTAATCAACCACCTCTCTCTCCCTGTCTCCACCTACCTATATTACATCTTGGAATTTTGACTCTGTTCCACGCACCCTATTGTGTGATTGTGTGGGTTAATGCATGCAGTGCAATTGTTGAGTTCCTTTCTCTAAATTACTTATCTTCGTGTGATCCATCAATCTAACCTTAGTTAAATTCTTATGTTCTGATAATTTCACTACTCCTAATCTACTAGTTTGACCTGTGTTGTTGCCCTCACTCACAGTCATTAGGAGGTATTTTGTAAATTATATTATTTTGTTTAATTGGGTCAACCTAAATAGCTTGTCCAAATAGCTGAGTGAGTTTGTAGGTTTTAATAGCACCAGCCAAATTCCTGCTTTATTGAGAATCCTACGCATGGAGGGTTTCAGATGTCGCTTCTTTATACCATAAAACTACTGTAGATGCCTTATATTCTTTCCTATTGATGAAAGTTTTTAGTTTGTTTGAAGTGCCCTACTGCGTGACACTCCAAGTCTCTAACCCGTATAGCAAGCAGTACTGACTTAACGTTGGAGTTGAAAATTCGGATCTCGTTTTCATTTTCATGCTGAGTGCTGCTGTTGATCTCCGACTTGAGAGTAATGAAAGCTTGCCTTGCTTTCCTAATCCTCACCGCTTTGATATCCTTATCAGTTCCGTCCGCCTGTGTGTGTGCACACACTTCTGAAGAGCCTACCCCAGGACAAAACAGGTATCCAGACTTCTCTGGTTTTGATAGATGAAATACACAAATTAAAATGAATCCTAATCTTTTCCAGAAATAATTCCATAACCTATAAATCATAGGAAGAAGAAGAAAGCAAAAATTCATAATTGCATTTATTATCAACTTAAATTTTCATTAAGTTAATGAGTAAATAAATAAATTAAATTTTTATATAAATCGATAAATAAATAATTAAATTATTATGTATATATGCTTTCTAATTACTAAAGATAATTAATCGTCAATAATTTCATCATTATATATATATATATATATATATATATATATTTTACTGTAATTAATATCGATTCATTAAAAAAAATTGATCGATAAAGCAATCGATTAATCAGTGTATCTATCTACCTGTCTATCTAGCTAGTTCATAATGAATCGATGATCGATCGATCGTTAAATAGATCGATAAATAAATAAATCATTCAGTCAGTCATTATGTGCTTCGCAGAGTGGATGTGCGTATATGTAGTTATCTATTCACTTATTTGTATGTGTGTATAACTTCGCCCTTTTTTTTCTTATTTCATTACTGAGAATTATTGATTATTCTTCGCTATACTGTATGATCGACAAGGCGTAAAAGCTTCGATGACTTTTACCACTTATGATGTAATAAGGTTTGAAATGATGCTTTGTTGTCGTTAATTCTCATTAAGCAATGAAATGACTCATGGTGTGTGGCTTTGTGTGCGTGTGTGTATGTGTGTACGTTTTATACCTACACACTATGATGTAAGAGTTGAAAGTGGTCAGATTGAAGCATGACACCTGTTACTTTGAATCACTTTTTAGTTGGCTCCACAATTGCCTATGAATGTTGCCATCTCCTCCATGTCACCCTTGGCTTCATATTCAACATGTCGTTTGCCATTCAGATCCCGATGGAGGGCCTAGATTCAGTGTGATTTCGGACCCATCCATCAGCCTTGTCTTTGTGATTCTGGTTTTGACATCATCATATCGTTGTGTAATTCCTGGTGAGCTCATGACACAGTATCTTGGAGGTATATATTGATCTCTCCTAAACACATCGCCCATGTCCCAATAATATGCATCATAAAATCAACAATTGTTCAGTTAAGCTTCTATTCACTTACGGCAGACTAAATTCTATCAGTCAAGTTTACAATATGGCGACAGTATGCTAAATAGCTTGCCATTACAGTGTACTCTGTATTTTCGTTAAATGGTTGAAGGCGATCTCCAGAAAGTCGTGACTGATCTCGGTCCCGAACCTGTTGGCACTCACTAATCAGAAAGGAAGGAACTCATTATGTCCCTCCTGAGATTTGAACCCGTATCATTCAGTGTGCTGTAGTCAGAGATGGTTTCGCCATTGATCTATTCAAGTTCGCAATCGACCTCTTCCTGTAGTACTGTAATGAATAATTGATATAAGGATAAAACTTGGGCATTGTGGCGGTAGAGTATAACTCCATTATGCAGAGAATTTTATTTTGATAAAGTTTCACACAGTGTTGTACAGGAATATTTACTGATGAACACGTTTCAAGGACAATTTATTACTGCTCATAATCATATCAAGGTACTCAAACAACTTTCTTGCTTCATTTATTTACATGAGTGAAATTGATGATTAGACATCTGAATAAAAATCAACATAAGATAAAGTACATTTAGAAATAATAATATTAGTGTTATCAACAAAATACAGTAAGATGGGATATAAGATGTTTTTATAGTAAAATAAATAAATAACATGTTAGAATACTATAATGTGAATTGAATACATTTTAAGATTATTTATTATCCTCCTCTGATTTGATTGGTGGTAATAATATCTTCGATGCATATCTGTGGTATTCGCGTTGAGTCATTCCTATTGCATGTGTTGGGTGTAGATAGACTCGATGAACCAGGGTTCGATAATCAACCACTTTTCTCTCTCTCTCTCCACTTACCTTTATTACTTTTTAGAATTTTGACTGTGTCCCACCCACCCTCTTGTGTGATTTTATGGGTTAATGCATGCAGTGCAATTGTTGAGTTTGTTTTTCTAAATTACTTATCTTCGCGGGTGGGATCAATCATTTTAACCTCAGCTAAATTCTTATATTTCTGATAATCTGACTACCCCCGCCCGATGTACTTGTTTGACTGACCTATTTAGTTGTTTAACAGTTAACGTATGAGATGAATTAACGTCTATTAGAATTCGTTTGCCTTTTTTTTATAAAATCTTGTCTATAATGGAGTTATACTCTACCATAATGCCCAAGTTTTATACTTATATTAATGAGAGATTATGGATAATGGAGGAGTTAGCCAGTTGAAGAGGACAGCAGAGAATTGGACAAAGTGGAGGTGTGTAGTTGAAACCGTATGTTCCACTCGGAACCCAAGGGAACAATAATAAATAATAATCATAAAATAGACACAGATCTGTCACACAATGAGGAGACTATTCACTTATATCAGATTCACCTGATATCTATGGTCGGCCTGCGAAATTTGGGCTACCGATATCCACGCTGAAAATTTCATACTTGTACCAAAAATACAGTGTGGAATCAAGCTGTAATCAAAAATAAAAAAAATGAATAAAAAAATTCAGGTTACGCCATCGAGTGGAAACTATGAGTTGTGTGTAAGTCCGAGGGTAAAATGAAGGAGATCCTGTGAGTTGGAAGACATGGCAGCTTATGTTGTAAACATGGAGGCATCTAAATAGGACTGTGGGGGGGGGGGACACGATGAAGCAGAGATGCTCTCTTGATGGCCTATGATCCACTTTGAAGCTAAGGGAATAATGTTAATAATAATACACTTCTCATAATCGAGTAATACTCATCACAAAATCAATAATTTTTCAATTAAAATTCGATTAATTAAAAAACATAAATTGATATCAACAGTGATTTATTTATATCAATGCCTTCACTATTTTTTCACCTATCAGATCTTCGTGAAGCCTTTACTCTATTCGATGTAAATCGTGATGGTCGAATCACTGAAAGTGAATTGGAATCAGTTCTTGGCTTTCTGGGAGTGAAAACAACTCGAGAAGAAGTGCGTAGAATGATTCGAGATGCTGACTGTGATGGTAAGTACATTCTCTATTATTATCATTGTTATTATTATGTGTGGGAATCTGAACTAAGTGATTTGATGCCTTCATTGACGATTTTTCGCTCCCTTTGCGTTCCTAGTGAACTTTGAAGTTGCAGTGTGACGGTAAGGATAGGATTATTAACCTCACACTAGCCCAAACTTCCATCTTTATTGGGCTTACTACCTACTGGCTGTAGGTGAGGTCTACGAGTGTGTCGGCGGCTTGGGATCGAACCGTGGACCACAGGCAGGCAAGCGTAGGTGTGGTGAGTATTCGACTACTACTAATGAACCACTACTATCGCACACTTCACTTGAAAGCTTCTTGTGTATAACATTTTAGTCGTCCAACCTTATTGTTGATTCATCTGTCAAATTCCCCTGAGTACTCACCATATCACATATTTAGTAAGACATTCTGCACAAGATATCTGTTTGTAAATTACATTATTACTTTTATCCGTCATTTTTATGGATTTATTTTATTTCTGATTAGTTGGGTTCGTTACTTTAAACATGTTACGAATCCCAATATTTTGGGGGATTTCATTGAATTGCCTCTGATATACCACTTTTGTATGGTGTTGTGATCGTTCTTTTGCCTTCCTCCTTCTTGTTATTCTCCGGTTTTACCCTCTTTTTTCTCTTTTTTGTATTATCTTTGATAAATTTTTTGGATAGTTGTTTTCGAGTAGCATTTTGAATAGGACGTTTATTTCTTCACGCTGGTCCTCTGGTGTTCTCGTAAGTCTACGTATACTATCTGCAAGACCTTGTATTAATCCTCGTTTTACCGTGAGTGAATGAGACCTGGGTGATAATCAAGGAATCTTCCAGAGTGTGTGGTTTTGCTATATAGCGTCTTTTTTATGCTACCATCTGTTATTCTTTGTATTTTGCAGTCTAACATATAGGCAGTTCCCCAATTTCATTCTCTATTTCCATATTGTGAATTTTTTTTTTGAGTCGACATAGCTGTTTGTGTGTGAGAAGAGTTTCTCAATGTCGTTTTGTTTTTTCCACTATTACTAATGTGTCGTCTACATATCTCCATCAACATTTTATTGATGACTTGAATGCTGGTTTAAGTGCATTCTCTTCCCAAAAATCCATGAATATGTTGTCCGCTATTATTGGTGAGATAGGCGCGATCCCATAGCTACTCCTTCATTTTGTTGGTATATTTTCCCTTTGAATGTGAAATATGTTGTTGTCAGACAGAATTCCCCCCCTTTTTATTATCTCTTCTACGAATAACTGTGTTCCGTCTTTTAGGCCATTATCTTCTTTTAGTCTCGTTTTCAGTGCATTCATGGCCAATTCGGTGAATGGGTATTTTAGTATAAAGACTGTTTACATCAGAGCTGACTAGTATTTCCTATCCGTCTATTTTACTGCTCTTTAGTCGTCTCTCTCACTAATTCACATGAATCTACTATTCTAGCCTTTGAGTTATCTCTTGTCGGTCATAGTATAATTGAGAGAAATCTCGGCAGCCTATACGTTGGTGTATTTCTAAAATCTACTATGAAGTCAGTTTGATGGTTTCTTCTAAATGCCTCTGATGTTCCATTTTTGCATGGTATTGTGATCGATTTTCGCCTTCATCTTTCTCTTTATATTATTTCTGATAAATTCTTTTGAGTAGTTGTTGTTGAGTAACATTTTGATAAATAAAATGTTTATTTCTTTTCGTTCATCATTGGTTGGGGTTGTTGTAAGTCGTCTACGTATTCTATCTGCAAGACCTTGTATTATCCCTCGTTTTATCGTGAGTGGATCAGACCTGAGTGATAATCAAGGAATCTTCAAGAATGTGTAGTTTTTCTGTAATAGCGTCCTGGAGTGCGGGGGGGGGGTTGAAGGTTATGGTAGGTAGAGGGATTGAACAAACTTCTTCTGAACACAAAAAAATTGACTCAAACATTTTTGTGGCAACTGCCTCAGCTTATCTTAGCAGTCGAAGACATATAAACTTAGGGGATTCAGGTAGGATCTTGTATAGAATTGTAAGGTCAGAATTTCTGTCCATCTTGTGACCCGTGTCCAGAAGCTTTGTCATTATGGAATTCCTGATTGATTTTACGACTCTTATACCTAATCATATTTGAAAATGCTGTCAAGAAGGCGATGATGGGCTTTCTGAGTCATTCTATCCGTGTAACTGTCTCCACAAGAACAATTAACTTCTTCCTGGACTAGCGACTTCCAGTTGTATCTGCCAATTCAACTTCGCTTGCTGTGAAGCGAGTTATATCAGCCGTTGCTCTAGGAACTTGATTTCTCGTGCTTACTCGAGAACATCTCCCAGTATGGCTTACTAAAGGTGTAGTAAAAACCATCAACATTTCGACATTAAATCACCTGGTTTAAACCGGCTGGCCACAAAGCCAGCATTAAAAAACCCTTCTCTGTCATCCACCGGGTACTAAATAAATTTCCAAAAACATCGAAGCACCGCATGCTTCAAACAGCAAAGGCTACTGCAATTCGTGTTAAATAACCAGTGCTTTGTGTGGAAAAGAAGCAAGTCCAGCCAGCCACTACTACTGCCCTGGGTTACCCTCAGAAAAGACTATAAATTCATGAATTTGTATTATTATTTTTCCTAATTTTTCTGACATTCAGTTTATTGTTATGCTGGTGCTATCGAACTGTAATCCATTGATATTATTATTATTGATTCGATGTTATTTAGACAACACTAATGTTATTAATAACACTAATTCATTCATTCCCTATAATGTATCCATAACTGTAGAGCCTAATGATGAAGGGGTTATCGAAAAGAAGTACTCTTTGTTCAGTAACCGTATTCTTTTGAAAATTTTAATGGTCATTTTAAGTCAGTTATAAATGTGCATTGATGAGGTGGTCAGACCCGGTAGCTTATCCTTCACCTGTGTATTGGAATTATACAATTAATGGTCGATTTTAAACATAATTTTACGGCAAAAGATGTTTAGCTATTATTTTTCTTGAGTTTCTATGCCAGTAATTCATTAGCTTGCATTCTTCTTGACTATATTTTCACTGTATTGATCCACATATTTTTTTCAAATGCCTGTAACTAATATTTTATTATGTAATTGTTTAGAGCCTGATGAGAGCTTGCCGAAAATTCCCGTTTACTTGCTTAAATTGTCTTGTAAAATAATCTTGAATCATCAGGTGTTACTTTGCAGGGATTTGGTTGGTTACAGATCTTCGATCACGAGTTGGCATCAGTTGGACAGCCCACTGTTTCGTCTCCTTAGTATGAGACTCTTCATGAGTATGTATCCACGGCCCCACCTCTGTGAGTTCGAACAAATGGACCTTCCTAATATACGGGAAGTTGTCTTAGGTTTTGATAAAAAGTTGAGGGCAGCAGGGCTCCCCCGCCAGGTCAGGTAAGAGGACGGTTACTCCCCAATGATACTGGCTGACGGTAACTCTATACGTCGATTATTCGACGAAGTTGGAAGTCATCATCCGTCAGGTCAGGTCTTAAGTTCGAATCCTGGAGGTGGGTATTGAGGTTAGGCATTGAATGCTAGATAAGGAGGGGAAATCAATCGATTAGGCTGTGAAGTTACGCCGATTCATATGGTTAGGACATGTGTTACACATGCCTGGCCATCGCCTTCCTCAACAAAGGGAAATGTTAGCTGACATAAGATGGATCAGGTTGGAAAAGTGCCAATGTTCGTCAAACCAAAACATAGCTTCATTAATCAATGAAATCAAAAAGTTTTAGTTTAAGCCACGCAGGGTGTAGACTTCCTAAATGGCTGGTAGGAGTCCTCGATACGGTACTAACCAATGACAGCTGGAGATAAATGATGGAATGGTTCAAACTAATCGTTCTTCGATATTACTTTTCTGTTCGCCTCATATCTCTGTTTACTGTCTCTATTTTGCATTTCCCTTTACTTTCTTCTTCTTTTGCTTTGTGTGCTACAAGAAGGGAGTGTGGCAGCTTGAACTGCTGCACATCAGTGCAAACTTCTATGTTGAAACCAGTCGGTCAGTCAGTCACCCTGGCGCTGGGTGCATTACTGCTGAAGTGTCATAAACTAGGAAGAAATAGTTGGCTAACCAATACTCACTCTCAGGTTTTCAAATGATTCGCTAACCAACATCAGCTTGTAATCAAATCTCTAACTGATCTTGAATCATTGATTTAACTACAAGCAAAACTTTATAATCCCGATAATCGCATACACGCACATATACACTATATAACTGTGACAGTCACCCCTTTTTTAACAAGCATATAGGTTGTTTATTCATTCTGCTGATTTATTTGCATGTTTGTGCGTTTAGATACATATGCCTGTATATTTTGGCGGTTGGGATAATACCTTTTCTACAAATCACATAGGCTCCATAGTTTCTGGGTATGTTTTTTCCACATACACATGTTTCTAGGTTATAACACTGGGATTTGTTCATGCTGTTTGCTGTTAACCTTATTCGAGGATGGAGGATGTTTCTTTTTGGTTTTGTTTTTTCTGTTAATTATTTTTCTCAGTTTTGTAATGTACATAAACATAAATATATATCAGGATGATTTGTGTGGACTTGAGGACAAATTTGTTGTCGCTGTTATCGTTTGTACAGGTGTACATGGACATTGGTATCTATATAAATACACCTACACACGGCCATACACACAGACACACACAACACACCTATATTCATGCCTTTTTCTCCCAGCTATTGTTTCGTTTCCCTAGGATTTTTGTGTGATTTATCTATCTATCTGTGTCACTCACTACTGGTTTTTCCGCATGTTTGTGTGTGTGTGTGTGAGTGCGTGTCTGTGTGCTTGTGTGTATGTAATCATTTTCAACAAGTTATCAGATGAAAATTCTTTCCCCGCCCCCACAATCTGTATGTTCATTCGGTTGTGGGAGATTTCATCACAGGAAGGAACATTGATATCCTCGTTGGTTTAAGTTATTTTATGCTCACTGGTGACTAGCCCTATTCACGTAGATAGTTGCC